CATAATCATGGACGAGTTCTCCAAAATAGCTTTACAAATACCTATTCTGGTTTGGTTTGTTTTGGTTTTTTTTTTTCCTCTATTTTTATTGAAACTTTGTACAGAAGTTTTAAACATTTCCATACAATACTTTTAGACAGGACAAAATGCCATGGTAAAGGAATGTAAACTGCAAGAAACACAGTCTGAAGTATCCAAATACTCTCTAATAAGAGTTTTAGTTTGAAGACTAATGCAGTAGGCAAAATAATATGCGTACAGTATACAAAGAACAGTATACACAGGGCCAGCAATGCTAACTATGAAAATTTTGCATCAGATTTACTTCAAAGATTTATAGCAATATGATAATTCTATACACTAGACCAAAATTAATTTATCATACATCGTTTCTATGACAAAAAGCTTGTCATTATGGACAGTAGCAACTTACAATATAATTAAGCTGTATTAATCTCATTAACACTTCTAAATCTATATTCCTACTACAATATTTTTTTTTCAGTATATTGTCTTATAAGATCTTAACAGACCTTTAAATAACACTTTACCAAAAGAGACCTGGATCCATTATAGCGATCTTATCTACATGCCCATTTGGCCTATTTAAAAAAAACCAAAAAAAAACCAAAAACAAGGGACAAGGGAAAAAGGCAGGTTTCAAATGCTATATGATATCATTTGGTTTTGGTCTGAAATGTATTTTAGTTGAACAGTTAAAAAAAAACCAAAAAGGCAGTTCATTAACTGGTATTTTATATAAAATCTGCAGGAAAATACAACAGCAACAGAAAACAAAAATACTTCACAGATATCTAAAAAAACATATCAGAGATACAAGGTAAAGCAGCATCACTTTGACACTGTGCTTTAAAAATAAGATGAATGAGAGACTGCTCTAGTGATATTAGAAAATTTGCTTTCTTCTTGAAGAAGACTACTAACATTTTGCACAGCAACTATTTTTATAACCACCTCATTTAAAAACGTGTATTCATAGACACAGAGAACTGTCATATCATTACCATTTTTGCTCAAAGTGTCTGACTTTACACAGTGAAACTGATAATGCTAAGTGTCACCAGATGTCACTATACCATGAATTCAATATTAGAACAGAAGTGAAGCAAATGCCTTTAAACCAACACCATAAAAGAAATAGAAAGTGTTTTGTAAACAAAACAAACCACTTTGCAAAACAAGAGAGTTCAGAGATCTCACAGTGAAATCAGAAATCCTAATTATATATGTTTACATTCTAGGACTACTCTTTACCTTAGGCCAATTAAAGCACATTAAACCATTTAATTATATACAAACATTTTCTTAAAAAAAATTTAAAACATTGCACACAAGTCTGCTTTTTAACATCACATAACAAGGTTAGTTTTATTTTCAAAACAATTACATTTAAGGGCACAGAACATACAGAATACCAAATTAACAGATGAGTATTTTTGCTTCGCTATACATGCTAAATCCAAAGATTTCCTCAAGAAAGCTAGAGCTTAGCAACTCTAACTTCTTCCATGTATCCTGTTCTCTGAAAGGGAGCATCTCCCAACACCTCCTTTATCTTAGGATTTAAAAAAATATATATATAAAAAAAATAAAGCTGTACGTTTTAAAATTGTAAGCATCCTCTGCTTTAACTGTTTGCGCAGAGATCCTTTGACGGCTCTACCCACTTCACTGTAACCTTGCGGGAAATCCTTGTCACTACTCAGTTACAGTGCTCTCGATGACTTGCATCAGAAGTCTCATGCTGGCCCTTCTGGGATTAGGGTGGAAAGGGGAACACAGAATTGGAGAAATAGAAAATACACAAGTGGTATTTTGAAGGCCATTTTAATTTCTTACAATCTCTCACAGTTTCCTTTCAGGTATTAGTAAAAGCTAACAGGAAAAAATAATAAAAACAACAAAAAAAACCCCCTCAAACTTTGGCAGAGAATAGCATCAGATCATTCACTTAAACAAAAAAAAATTAAATAAGAATAGTCTCCCAAAATGTACTATTAAGCTCTCATGAACCTTATTCCTTTTTCATTTTTATTTTCTTCTTTAAATAAAAGGCTTCTAACAAATTTCTAGGAGAAAGTTCAAATATCTTAACGGAAAAAAATAAGTTAAGGGAAATAGCAACAAAAAAAGGTGTAATTCCAAAATAAGTTTTTCAAGACTGTCATTCTAAGCTCAAGGTAATAAATAAACCAATCGCTGCAAGACAGAAGCACGTGTCCTCCTGGATCTACCCCTGCGTGACTCGCCAGTCCCACTGAGGTGGAGGCCAGGCATTAAAATTTATGGAACTGATTGTCCATTATGGGAGACACTGCTGTAGTTTTACTGGACAAAAAAGTTGGTGTTTAAACCAAAATGTTTATGCTGTAAAACAAAACCCTCAAGCAACTTCTTATACTAAGGTTCATAACACAGGGCAAGGTGCTTGCTCACCAACAGACAGTTTGCTTGAACCTTATAATTGGGGGTTTTTTTTCCCTAATAAAGGCCTTTTATTAAGTGGTTTATGCAGCAAAGAACATTAGGAAGTTCTATGACCTCTAAGACATGAAAACAGAATACAGCTGAAGAGGCTGGCATTAGGCAGAGAGTAGCATAGAAATACATTTTTAAATTATTTAAGCAAATTGTATCTCCAGTGCTTTTTGTCTTAAAAGCTTCTTCACAATAACAGGTCCAAAGGTGGGGGGGGGAGGGGGAGGCAAAGTATTACTATAGTAAGATCCTGACTGCCTGCCAATTACCACTGTGATTAATGCGGCAACTTGTTAGTTTAGCAAAAGTGAGAATACATTAACTGGGAGATGGAGTATCTCAGATTGAACAGTCAAAGGCTGTACTGCACGTTTGCAAAGGATTACAACTCCCTACCACCGTGGAAGGATAATTTCACCACGGATCTGACTGTAGTTATGCTGCACAGGACACAGGCATCCTGTGTATTAACTCTTTAATGAGCGTTCTCTTTAAATAGCGAATGACTTGGGCCGGGGGGGGAAGAGAGGAAGAGGAAAGAAAAAAAAACCCCAAACCCTAAGCTGGGAAAAGCCATTATAAGCAAACCACTCTTCAGGTGGCAATAAAAGCCATGCCTTCAGCTTCAAAACCACATAAGGCACCCTGGGAAAAAAGCACGCTCGGATGAAGCAATGGCAGCCAAGCAAAAGGGTCCCTGAGCTAACCTGGCTTCACAGGTTAGGTGGCAATGCATTTGTTAATACTGAGAGCAGAGAGGACCAGTCTGGAAAATCCAAGTCCCGGTCACTGATAAAAAGACATGCCAAGTTACTAAGGGACAGTGCCTGGTACATGAGTCTCTCTTTCCCCATGTCAAATTAGGTATATTAGCCAGAACCCAGCCTTTTCAAGAAGATATTATTGGACTGAGACTTATCTTTACCTTCCACAAGTTGTTATTTTTCATCCCACTACAATCAAGTTTCACCCTAGATTACTTTATCTTGCATAGAAACAATTAACTACATTTTACATCTTTCTTGTAGTACCATCCTTCCCAACTCAGCCCACTAATTAATTAACTTGAGATGCCATTAACATATTTCACATACTACAATTTTACCATTAAAAAGGATTTAAAATATTTTTCTGAAAAAAGCCAGCCACCACAAACTGTAAGAAAACGTGGTCTCGTCACACCGGTATTAACATCAAGACTCAGGTATGGTAACACTCCTCTTCTACATATATTGCAACACCGCTCCTACACTTAATACTGTATTTCCAGTTAGAGCAGTCTACTTCCCAGCAGCAACAACTAAACAAAGTGGAGAAAGGTGGGACATCTTGGCCCCTGTTTAAAGTCCTGGAATTAATGGGATTCAATTGATTTAAAAACAAAACACCAACAAAAATGGAAGCCAATAATTTTATCTGAACACAGGTATTGTACATCGTACTACTAAAAGCTATTTGGACGGCCTGCAGCTTACAGCAGCACTGTACTGGAAAGCAAACTTTCTCCAGCAGCCAATGGCAGGATTAACCCAAATTTCATCTCTGCAGAACTATTTCACCCATAGGTATTGGTTCTTGTTTGGATTATTAAATTATATTGTGCCAAGGAAACATTTCTGGACCCTTGAATTGATGCTGTTGAATTGTCAGCATGGTCCCTTAGACCATTTTTGGCCAAGCCAGTTTGTGCTCTCCCAAACAACTCCCTAGATGAGCTCAGGAGCCAGGAGCAAAGACAACTGGAGGAATTAGTTTCACAGGATGCATGGATATGGCCACTCTGTCCTGGAGGGTAAGGGAGTTTAATACTACGAGTGCAGTCACACACTGTCAGCTGGCCTCCACACCCAAAAACAGGCACTGACTTGGTTTAGTGTAAGGGCGAGAGCACCCAGGATGGCAACACATTCTCCTGCTTCACCAAGAGGGAAGCGGACCGAGCTCTGCAACCTTTCAGTCTGCTGAGCTCCACCCACTTGCTGCACACACATGGCTTCCATGCCTGGAAGCTGTTCATGCCTGCCTCAGGCATCCGTCCTTCGGGAGAAAAGAACCTCAGCATCTCAAGACCTACTGATCATCTGTGATCACCTGGGAAAAGCTTTTTTTTTTTTTTTAAGAATTGTAAGGTCAGACCTCAATTGCCGACATAGATTATGACTGCACGCGCTCCTTATCTCCTGGCACAGAATCCCTCAGGACTTATTCCTTAAAAAAAGAAGGTTTGACAGGGTGAAAGGGGAAGCGGGAGAAGACATGAAGCAAAACAACTCTGGGAAGTAAGGACCACTTCTACCTCTTCCCCTCACTTCCCCCCACCTCCCCTTCCTCTTGCCTTCCCACTTTTTTTTTCCTCCCTTTACAGACCCCGTATGCAGCAGTGGTTGGGCTGCAGAGTATTTCCTTCTAGATACACACACAGCAGAGGAAAAGCACCCAGGATGGCAACACATTCTCCTGCTTCACCAAGAGGGAAGCGGACCGAGCTCTGCAACCTTTCAGTCTGCTGAGCTCCACCCACTTGCTGCACACACATGGCTTCCATGCCTGGAAGCTGTTCATGCCTGCCTCAGGCATCCGTCCTTCGGGAGAAAAGAACCTCAGCATCTCAAGACCTACTGATCATCTGTGATCACCTGGGAAAAGCTTTTTTTTTTTTTTTTAAGAATTGTAAGGTCAGACCTCAATTGCCGACATAGATTATGACTGCACGCGCTCCTTATCTCCTGGCACAGAATCCCTCAGGACTTATTCCTTAAAAAAAGAAGGTTTGACAGGGTGAAAGGGGAAGCGGGAGAAGACATGAAGCAAAACAACTCTGGGAAGTAAGGACCACTTCTACCTCTTCCCCTCACTTCCCCCCACCTCCCCTTCCTCTTGCCTTCCCACTTTTTTTTTCCTCCCTTTACAGACCCCGTATGCAGCAGTGGTTGGGCTGCAGAGTATTTCCTTCTAGATACACACACAGCAGAGGAAAAGTTATTTTTCAGTGTGCTTGCCAAACTGAAGACATGCAGAGTCTCACACTTCTCTTTTTCCCATGTGGTAGAACCTACGTACAGATTTTTCTCTAAAAAGAGGCTAACCCTAATTATGTCCTAAAGGTTTGGGGACTGAAGAGGCTGAATATATACTCTATTTCAGTATCCTACAAAACCCAAATAAAGAGTACCACTTTTTTTTTTTTTTTTTTTTTTTTTAAACTTTTCCCCTCTCCTCTATTGCCAGTTTGTCATCTCCAGGTTGATGCATTTGGTTTTTTTCTTTTTTTTAATACAGCAACTTTTCAGTAATGGAATTTACAGTGGAAAAACAAAAATTTCATCTTGGAAAAAAAGGTAGAAAGCTACTAACAGCTATCATGTTTTAAGTGCATCCTGCTGTTACTGTAAGACAAATGAGAAACTGGAAAAAAAACTAGCAGCAGTGAGCAAAATTGAAGAAGTGCTAAGTTGGCAGAGGTAATATCGCTGTTACAAAGAATGACAACACAATGATGTCCATTGCATCCTTACATTTTAAAGAAAAAAAAAAATCTTTCCGCACAGCTTTTAATCATTTAGATTTTACACATGGGCAAATGATTACGTGCTTTCTGCACCCGAATGCTGACTGAGCTCTGTAACTGCCTGACTTCAAACACAGCCACCTGCCTGCCTTTGGTATATTTATACATGTATACACGGAAAAACAGAAGGTTAGTACTGCAAATGGGAAAAAAAAAAAAAAAAAGACAAAAGGGGAAAAAAAGAAAAAGACACCACATGACATGTTCTGCCCTCAGCAGCGATAGGGCAACATGTCTCAGATGGTCTCTAAATAAGCTAAAGTTGAGTCGATCTTACAATTATAGCGTAAACAATGCCTGGGTTGCAGTTATGTTAGCTGAAAAGAAAAAAATACCAAACAAAAACAAACAAAAACCCCACCAACAAACAAAATCTCCAGAGACCTGTATCAACTTCTGTATGTTTAGCCATACCCTTAAAAGTTCACTATTCACTCACAAAGAGAAATAGACAAACATGAATATTCCAAGTGAACAGACACAGACCAGTCCAGTATTTAGTAATAGTTTAACTTTTGGAGTCTCTTCCAGCATTTGTAAACAAACAGTCTCTTCCTCGATCTCCCGAACAGCTCTCTTGTTCATGGTTTTACTTTTAAAGCCACAGAACCAATCTATGAATTTCAAATGTCTCTCTCTATCATCAGTCTCTTCCTCGTGCTTTTTCTCCCCCATCAAAGCCGCTTGTCCATTCGAATAACAATCAACTGGTGTCTCGACTTCAGAGTGACTCACCGAACTCATTGGGTTGCTGTCATCTCTGCAAGTAACCAGAAGATTGATATCCTCCGGCTTAATATTTTTAATATTTTCTTCTGATTTGCCATTTGGAATGATATGGTTTGCGTTTTCATTGCACTTGAGGATGCTCTTTTCTTGCACTTTGTACAGCTCCCCCTTTGCAGCATTCTCTTTTACACTCCTGTTTTTCACGGCCCAGAAAGTGGTCGTCCGAACCTGCTCCTTCGTAGGCGGAGGCGTGAGGAGGCTTACTACAAAGGTCACAATCCCAGTGATCCAGAACAGCGCTGTTGCAACATACATGTAATGGATGTTTTTGATAAAGCTTGGCCTAGTATCCAGCTGGTTACACTCTGGAGCACGATAGATAAAGGCCAGTATCAACCGTATCGCTCCAAGAACAAACCCGGCCATTCCGCCATAGAAAGCCCCCTGCTCATTGCAACGCTTCCAAAAGATACCCATAAGAAACAGAGCAGCCACCGGTGGGGTCAAATAGTCCGCTACCTCTTGAATATAAAGGTACATCTGACCACCTTGCATTTCTACAATTATCGGGACCCAGGCAATGCTTATAACTACCATGAACGCAACAAAGACTCTTCCTACAATCATCAGTTCTCTAGACGTCGCGCTCT